CCCAGAGCCTGCCCTTGCTTTCTAGGCAAGGAATTAGCCGTGGCTCTACTAGCAGCTCATGGTTCCAGGTTGATGTCACTAATTATTCTGTCGCCGTCTCCTTACTTGGTGTCAGCATATTGCAAAATCAGTGGTCAGCGTGCTGAAGACCGTACTCAGGGTGGAGGCTGTAATACAGTATTGCCTTTCATCAGATAACGGCGAAGCTACGGAAAAATACATTCCTGTGAACTACGGCTTTCTCTTTAGTGCTAACAACCCGTGGAGGCCAACCTGTGAGATCTCCGCTTTGCCCGTGGTTGCTCTGGGGCCGAGCTGGAGGATGCCAGGTTTGGTCAGGGCTGCTCATCGGCCCTGCCTCCTGCGTAAGAGACGAGTTGGTGCTAATGCAACTTCCCCCTGCTCTTGCTGCTCTTACAGCCCAGGCAGTACTGGTGTCTTACCACAGGATTTGTGTGTCTAAAGAGCCACAGGAGGTTCTCGGTTTTGACCCCCTTAGCTAGGTACCCCTCAGGAGCGGGGAAGGAGAACAAATTGGTGTTGTCATTTGATTGTGATTCACAGGGGCTGCCCACCGTATTTTTACCCACCATGACTTCCAGGATTCTATTTATCTAAACGTTTTTCCCCAGGGTTGGATTTTTTTCCCCAAAGCCCTACGTAACTGGGGAGGCAAGGTTAAACAGGTATGATGGTAAGAAGGCTTGGGTTCCCGTGCGTGCCTGAATGCCAGTTTCACAGCGCTCGGCAAGAGCTGCAGGAGGAACATGGGTATGGGGTGCATGTCCCTGCTTTGACCGGCTGCATTTTGCTGATGTTGGTACTCGGAAGCGTGAAGGATTCCCTTCCCCTGGTGTAGCTGTTTGGAAGAGACCGCGCAACGAAGGGATCCTCATCTGTAAATCAATCCTTGTCCCATTCCCAGTGTGTGGCATTGAGGTGAATTCAGCAGAAGAAATGGGGTGGGGGGGAAGGTTCCATTTCTCCGGGGCTACGCCATGGCTGTGCAGAGGAGGAGTCTGTGGGATGCTTTTTTGGGCGGTTCTTGGCTGACGGCAGCGGGTCGGCTGGTGTGGTGCGAGGCAGGCGTGCACAGGGTTCCCACTGCGGTCGCTTGGCTCTGCTGGCTCCGTTGGGGAATTTCCCTTGTGGAGTAAATGGCCTGAGACTGCGGTTGCTGTATCTCGTCCTGTTTGTGATGATGAAAGGTGAAAGTCGGAGTGAAGGCTGAGCTGGCTCTCGCTGTGTGATGGGTGAGGACCACTGGTGCTGTGGCTGCCTCGCTTAACTCTCACTTCGGGGGGGTGGGGGGGGAATCCATCTTCCTATCACCTTTTTTTCATAAGGAAGTATTTGTTCATTTAAAATTGGTAGTGCATGAGGTAAATGATTCCTTCAGAGCTACCCTTAAGTTTCTTGGGGAGTATAATGTTTGTAGTGTGTTTTAAAATGTTTGGTCAAATAATCCTCTTCAGGGAAAAATGGGAGGAGGCTTGCGAAGAATGATACAAATGAGCCGGCACAGGATGAACACTGCCTGCAGGGCTCGGCACGGGCTCGGCTCCTCGTCGGGTGCCTGGGCAGGCAAGTACTAAATCTTCACCTAAACAAAAGCAAAACTAAAGGGTTTTGCTTTAACTGTGTCAGTATGTACTTATGGCTGAGTGTGCTGGTTAGGAATGCTTATACTGGTGAACCAGGGATGGTAAGTTCAGGCTTCCATTATCATACCAAAACTAAAATTACTTTGAAAGGTTTGATTAAATTGAATTTCCAATCTAGAAGTCCTCTCTTCAGGCTCTTTTATCTCTGCACTTCAAAATCTTGGATACAGTGATGTGATGATTTATTGCAAAAGTGTGGGGCAGTGCATTGTTTTTTTTGTTTCCTTTGTCTTTCTGTCTAAGCTCAGGAGATGTGGAAACTTCTTGATTCATCCTTTGACCACATGACGTCATAGCTGGCCGACCTCGTGTCATTGTGGCCGCAGCGCCTCTGGATGCCGTGAATTGTCGCAGAGGGAGTGGGATCAGCCGTGCTTCATATCGTGGCCTCGGTAGTGACTAATGGAGGAGGGTGGGAAACCAGAGCAGCTGAGTAAAAGCAAATAGAAAGATCATCCTGCTGGAGTGGTGCAATGGGCTACTGACCTTGTGTTTTGACATGACGTCTGTTGTGGGGTTTTCCAGCGCTCCTTGCAGACAAAACCCAGTGGGTATTGACTGACTCATTCAGAAATGTTGGGTTTCGTATGTGGCGACTTTCTTCAGATCTTTCTAACTTTCCAGATAAAGTTTGAGAGTTGACCTTGACGATCTGTGGAGTCAGCTTTCCATTGAAGCCGGCTTTCCGACGTTTAAAGGTCTTGCTCTGTTGCTGCAGGGAGTTGAGGCAGCGTTTGGCCTCTCCTTTCTAAGTATGTGACTCGTACCTTCAAAGAAAAGCTCTGCCCACCTTGGTCTGTGCTGTTCTGCAGCCTGAGGAGGAAAGGCGAGAAGGCTTTTCTTCGCACCGGAGGGGTTTGGAAATGTGGCTCTGGCAAAGCAATCTCGGGGAATTTGAAATGGGGAATGGAGCTGCAGGTATAGAATCATAGAATTCGAAGAATTAGAAGGCTGCATAGAAGGTGCAGCCTTCTAACTTGATCTGAGTTTCTAAACCATTGGGAAAATCTTGTCTAAAATGAAACTATAAGAATTGGTAAGACACTTTGGAATCTAGAATTAAGTAGGCTCTGAACTACTTAATGCTACTGAATTCTGAACTACTATTATATACCACTACTATGTGGTATATAATGAAGAATTATATAGCTATTTATAGATGTGTGTGTCTTGTGCTAGATGCTCCTAGTATTCTTTAAATGCTGCCTCTGTAATTTTTAGGAAATAAGGATGTGTACTTGGGTGGAATGGAGTAAATGAAAGTAATATGTGTAAATTGGAGACTAATTGATACACATCAGGAGACTGATGGTTTTAGCTGTTCCGGTAAAGAGGGCTTGATTGGTGTGAAAACTTCAGCGGCGCCACTTTAGGGATCCTTGTGGGTTTGAGGTTTGAGCCCACCATCTTTTCCGAGTAACCGTGAAAGAACGGGAAGCAGAGCAGGCGAGCAGATTTACTTACAGGGAGAAGTGCAAAGAAAGAAATGGAGGGAGCGAAGGCAAATTACCAAAGTGAGGTGCCGCTGTCTGTTGGGAGCAGGGAAGCGGCGTGGCTTCAAAGGCTGCGTGCTGTGCCGCTTCCATAAGGCATCTCATGCCTGCGTTTTCCCTTTTTTATCTCGTAGCGCACTAGTGCCCTTCTCAGCGGGCTGTAGTGGGAGGTTGAGGCTTATGGGTTTGTTCCCTCCTGCAGATGCTTGCTCTTCACGCTGAACTTCTTGTTCCGCTCCGGGGTCCGCATCCCCTGCGTTGCGCGGATCTGCCTGTGCCTCGCTCCTGCCCTTGGCGGGAGCCCTCCCTGTGCTCCTCCGTGCACGTTCTGGTGGAGGTAGGGGCTCTCGAGCACGTTCTGGTGGAGGTAGGGCCTCCGAGAGCCCTCCCGACGAGCTGTTGAAGATAATGAACTTCCTCTCCAGCTGTGTCCTGGAAACAAAGGGCTGTTGTGCTCAGCCTTTGTCCTTGCTGTGTGCAGGGGCCCTGCAAGAAGCAGCTCTTCCTTCCCTCTATTCCAGCCAGCGTCTGCATATTTGCTATTTTTTTTATTATTAGTAGACAGTCCTGAATAAAGTGCATCTTTGAGTGGCTTTCTAACTGTAAAATTGTTATCGCTTAGTGGTACCTCGGGTGCAAGGGACTGACAAAACACTATTTCGAGAGGCTGTTTTGTGTACCCAGACAGTTAGGACATACTTAAGGTAAATGAGGGAAATGGGAACAAATTTCACTCTGCAAGTGAAATGATGCTTGAAACACTTGATCTGCAAGTGTTGCTTGTAGTTGTTTCAAGATGACGTTCGCTATAAAATGACATTTAGTGTGACGTGCTTTTGAATTTGTTTTAACATAGGCTAAATTCAGTTAAGACTGCTTCCAGTAGACTGTCTTGCACGACACGGACCTGCTTGTGTCTCTTAATTTTTGCACTGCCTGCTTTTCTGGTCCTGTGATGGGTAAAAGGTGCTTCTGTACGCACCATGCCGAAACGCCTTAAGCATCTTAGGAAAGAGCCTGCTGCCACTGTGTCCTAGCAAACTTTATAACTCAGTCCCCAAAAATCAAAGACAAATGTTCCATGAATTTTTTTGCTTCTCTTTCAGACCGTATTTACCCAGTTAACGAGAGAAGTTCCACGTAGGCACGTAATATTACATAGTAAGCCTTATTTGCATGCAAAAAAACTGCTTGAACTCCTACTTGACAGTTCAAGGAGTGGCTCCCTCATCCCACAGGGAAGAGTAAGGTTTAAATAACACCTACTGGTAACAGGAAGCAAATGAAGAGTTCTCAGAAAATCAATAATTTTATCTATATCCTACGCAGGTGGTGATACAGACCCTTCTCTCACTTGTAAATGTTTAATTTGCTTTTAGGTCATGCTTGTCAGTGAAAGGCTAGCGTATCAGCGGACTTACGTGCGTGTATGTGTGAGCCTTTGCTCCTTCTGCAGGATGTTAGAAATAACTGAAGGGCACCCAATCAATGGAAGAAACATAAACCCAGCAGTATTTCTGGGAGAACCATGAACGCGTCTGTCGTGGAGAAAAAGCCATCCACGTTTATTCACCATCTAATAGCAATTGAGGAGATGATGGGCTAAACCAGCCCAAGAAACGTTGCTAAAATAGTTTGTGGCTGTGGCAGAGGTCTGTTTGGAAATAATAGGCAGAAGTTGTTACCGCTTTCTCTAGTGTGGGTTGCAGAGAGGAAAAAACAGCTGCTTCTGGTTTCACCCTACAGTTTCTTGAAGCTCTCAAACAGCTTAAAATAGACGGCTTTCTTGTGGCTTTCTAAACTTAGATGTCTTGCTAAACTTGCATGTGTTTCCTTTAAACAGGTTGCAAAATAAAAGCACTAAGGGCCAAGACAAATACTTACATTAAGACCCCCGTTCGTGGAGAAGAACCCATCTTTGTTGTCACTGGACGAAAAGAAGACGTAGCCATGGCCAAAAGGGAAATTCTCTCAGCTGCTGAACACTTCTCCATGATCAGAGCGTCACGCAACAAGAACGGTCCTGCCCTGGGAGGCTTGCCATGTACCCCCAACCTGCCGGGTCAGACGACGGTCCAAGTCAGGGTGCCTTACCGTGTAGTTGGGCTGGTGGTTGGACCGAAAGGAGCTACAATCAAAAGAATTCAGCAGCAGACCCATACCTACATAGTCACTCCCAGCAGAGACAAGGAGCCTGTCTTCGAAGTTACGGGAATGCCTGAAAACGTCGACCGTGCGCGCGAGGAGATCGAGATGCATATAGCCATGCGTACCGGGAACTACATTGAGCTGAACGAAGAGAACGACTTCCATTACAACGGTACGGATGTGAGCTTTGAAGGAGGCACTCTCGGATCTGCATGGCTTGCTTCTAATCCTGTCCCTCCTAGCCGCACCAGAATGATTTCTAATTATAGAAATGACAGCTCCAGCTCCTTGGGAAGTGGCTCCACAGATTCCTATTTTGGAAGCAATAGATTGGCTGACTTCAGCCCAACGAGTCCGTTCAGCACAGGCAACTTCTGGTTTGGAGAAACGCTGCCTTCGGTGGGCACGGAAGACCTTGCGGTCGACTCTCCCGCGTATGACTCCTTACCGACGCCTTCCCAAACCATTTGGACCCCTTTTGAACCTGTAAACCCGCTCTCTGGCTTCGGTAGCGACCCTGCTAGTAACGCCAAGCCTCAGCGCCGAGGGAGCCAGCCATCTACCCCTCGCCTGTCGCCCACATTTCCGGAAGGTCTGGATCACCCGCTGGCTAGGAGAGTGCGGAGTGACCCACCTAGCACCGGCCACCAAGCCGGCCTTCCCATATACATCCCCGCTTTCTCCAACGGTACCAACAGCTATTCCTCTTCCAACGGCGGCTCCACGTCCAGCTCACCCCCCGAGTCGAGACGGAAGCACGACTGCGTGATCTGCTTCGAGAGCGAAGTCATTGCGGCCCTGGTCCCCTGCGGCCACAATCTCTTCTGCATGGAGTGTGCCAACAAAATCTGTGAAAAGGAAACGCCATCGTGTCCCGTTTGCCAGACAGCTGTTACTCAGGCAATCCAAATTCACTCTTAAATATATATAGATGATATTATATACGGACTTTTTAAAACTCTTACAGGCATGGGTGTAATGGTACCCTCTAGTAAACTTCCTAATGAATTCTGACTGTTGGGCTTTCTTGGGATTAGGCTGAAGTTGTTAATAAATTTCTACTCTCTCAAAAGGCTGCTACGGTAACACTAAACCTAGGTGGTCTCTGTCAGGTTCAGTGTAAGCGGATGGCACGTTTAGCAGAGACACATCTGGTGTGATGTTATGGCACAGTGAGGGGAAGTTTTCATCGATTACACAACCGAAAAAAAACAAACTTTGCAGGCTTTCTAAAGGATCTCTGTTAAGCGTTTGACTCCTGTGTGCTGGCAGCAATGCACCTCACTGCCTAAACGCAGAAGTACTCGTCTGCCGTGGAGGGTTTGTGGCATTATCAATATATCAAACAACACTTCCAATGCTGCCTTCTTTACACTGCCAGTTCTGAAAAACAGGTTTGGGGAAATCATGTTTGCTTCGTGCGACAACTTACGCCTAATTCTTCAGCATTGCAAATACCTTTTTTTAAAGCATAGTTTGATTTATTGAAATGGA